CCATAAAATAATATCAAATGATTAGTTATTGTTTATTAAGTAATTTATGAAACTAATTAAAAGATTTAAATACTCATTATTCACTAAATAAATAATAAATGAAGTAATTAAATAAAGCTAAGATATTACTTGATTACAAATACGGAACTAAACAAACTAATTTTTAATAATAATTTAGTGACCTTTCCGAGCAGAAGTCGTCAATCAAGAGCTATCTTGACAACTTTTGACTGAAAAGATCTATCCCGACGACATTCCGGCAAAGTTTGTCGGGATGACATAGTTGGTTTTCCAAATCTATTGATGTAGTGTTCTAACAAAATGTCACATTTTTCTTCCAACTCGAATTATATAAACATATATTGATGCATATTTTTCACAACTTTTCTAATGTGGTTTAATGCATTTCCTAATTGCTAGATCCTCTTATTTAAAAAGTATAGTTGCACAACTATACTCTTTAAATATACTCGAATATTAATCCTCTAAACTACTCTTATCGATAAACAAAAATCGGGGAAAAAAATTTGAAAGAAGAGAAGGATCCTCAAAATATATATAAAGAGTATAGCCGAACAGCTATACTCTTTTTTTAAAAAATAGAAAGAAATAGGGTATAGCCGACTGGCTATACTATTTTGAAGACACATTAATAAAATGCTTATAGCCGCGCGGCTCTTTAAAAAAAAAAAAGAAAGGGATCCGCGGGGCAATAAGGCGTCCACGTGTAAGAATGGTATAGCCGGTCGGCTATAATATTTTTAAAAAAATCGAAAACTCGTGTATAGCCGCGCGGCTATACAATTTTTTATTTTTATTTTTTTTAAAACACCCGTCTAGCTATTGGGAACTGGAAAGAGAAAGTAAATAATTCCAATACATGACGCAATTCCTACCTGTATGCCCCAAGAACTTCCACAATCTCCAGAGCATATTTAAGTATTGGGGATGAGCTGAAAAGAAAGGGTTGAATGGTTTCCAACAGCAGTTCTATGCAACCTAAAAAAATTAGTAAGTAGAAAGTGAGAACACTAGACATTAATTTAGAAACCTAAGCATTGAAGGGGCCAGAACGAGCAAGCCTTTCAAGAGCTAGTTCAAACAATAATTGTATGACTTGCTTTTCACAGTCCACACTAAGTAAGCCAGACTCCAATAGAAGATCATAGAAAGTTTGGGATGATATAATTGTGTGCAACTTTGTCCTATTAACAGCATTATCACACACTCCAGCAGTCACAACACGCAACAAATAAGTAAACACCTTAATGTAGACCACTAAAGAAGATCGATCTGAATGCTCTCCATCACTTTGGAAACTATGGAGTGTGGTAAGCAGAAGAGAAAACCCAGTGGCTTCACCAAACACTCTCTGAGCTGAGTTATTAACTCCCAGAATACGCCACAAAGCCCCCATAGTGTCACATTTTGCATCACTTTGAAGAGTGTGTGGTAAGCAGAAGAGAAAACCCAGTGGCTTCACCAAACACTCTCTGAGCTGAGTTATTAACTCCCAGAATACGCCACAAAGCCCCCATAGTGTCACATTTTGCATCACTTTGAAGAGTGTGTGGTAAGCAGAAGAGAAAACCCAGTGGCTTCACCAAACACTCTCTGAGCTGAGTTATTAACTCCCAGAATACGCCACAAAGCCCCCATAGTGTCACATTTTGCATCACTTTGAAGAGTGTGTGGTAAGCAGAAGAGAAAACCCAGTGGCTTCACCAAACACTCTCTGAGCTGAGTTATTAACTCCCAGAATACGCCACAAAGCCCCCATAGTGTCACATTTTGCATCACTTTGAAGAGTGTGTGGTAAGCAGAAGAGAAAACCCAGTGGCTTCACCAAACACTCTCTGAGCTGAGTTATTAACTCCCAGAATACGCCACAAAGCCCCCATAGTGTCACATTTTGCATCACTTTGAAGAGTGTGTGGTAAGCAGAAGAGAAAACCCAACAGCTTCTACTATGACATCCACAGACTCCACATTTTGAAAGTTCTCGATTAGCCACTAATTTTTATTTCAAAAAAGTTGGAATAACAAGTTGATCAGGGATATGTATGAAGGAACAAGAATTGATGCAAAATCACAGAAATTCGAAATTGTGCCAGAGTTACCATCTTCAATGATCAAACATGACAGCACCCTAAGCACCCCTGAACGGTGTATATTATCAGACACAAGAAAAGGGAAGAACCACAGTTACACCATTAGCCAAACGGAAAGATGACTGATTAGTTTCTGCTTTCTTTAATAATGAGACCATACAATCCCACGCAATAGCAACTGTACCATCGGCTTCCCTGAACCAGATTCCAAAAGTCTGGGTGATGAAATTTAAAAGAAGAAAAGGATCCTCAGCTATACCATTCAAAAAAATTAGAAAAAATCAAGTACAGCCGTGCGGCAATGCGATTTTATAAAAAAATAAGTAAAACCGGAGTATAGCCGCACCGTGTATAGCCGCACGGCTATACTTCATCAAATATATTAATATTTAAACAGTATTGCCGTTCGGCAATACTCGTTAAATGTATTCGAGTATTTTAATAGTATAGCCGCGCAGCACAAGAAAAGGGAGAACCGCAGTTACACTATTAGCCAAACGGAAAGACGATTGATTATTAGTTTCCGCTTTCTTTAATAATGAGACCATACAATCCCACGCAATAGCAACTGTACCATCAACTTCGAATATAGGAAGCTTCCCTGAACCAGATTCCATAAGTCTGGGTGATGAAATAATGACATCCTTATTGTCCAAGTGCTTTTTAAAGCTGCTTGAGCTGGACTTTCTCTCCAACTGATTAGAATTTTCACTTTGATGGTCTGAACCCAAAAGAAACTTGTGTTGCTACAGCTCATCCAACAAAACTTCCAGGACACCAACTTCTCGGAGGACCTTTTTGCACTGCTGGTCGAAGGATAAAAGTTTAACAAAGAAAGAAAGTATGGTGTGCTTTAATTCTGATGATATTGGTTGCTGCAACAAGCAACAAAGTGAAAGTAATTCTTGCTCCGGAACGCAATTCACAACAGTCACAGCATAGAATTTTTAAAAGTATGTCCGGCAAAGATGGAGGAAATCCGGCCATATTTAGGATGAAAAGTGAAACAGTCCGTAACTGCTGGCACAACTTGTAGTTTTCGAGATGACTTGAAAATATATTGAACATTCTATTTAGAACTTCTGCTTGCAACTCCCTGTTATCTACTTTGAGGAAAATGTCCTGCAACATCTGAACTGCTTCAAGGTCTTTAATTATATGATTGTCCTTTTCCCAAACTTCATCAGCCAATCGGTCTGGAGATGGTGTCCAGGTATAGCCGCCCGGCGGATCGGCTATACTAACAAAGGTAACCGAGTATAGCCGATCGGCTATACTAACAAAGGGAAACCTGAGTATAGCTGCGCGGCTGTACTATTCATCTAAAAAGGGAACCCAAGTATCGCCGAATGGCTATACTATTCATGTAAAAAAGAAAAACCCGAGTATAGCCGTTCGGCTGTACTATCTATTTTACAAAATAAGGTAAAACCGAATATAGCCGAACGGCTATATTATTTATTAAATAACCTCGCGGCTATATTATCTATTTGACAAAATAAGATGGAACCGAGTATAGCCCCAGTTATACAAATTATAGCCGGGCGGCTATACGATTCATCTAAAAAAGGAAAACCCGAGTATAGCCGCTGGCTCGATTATTCATGTAGTATAGCCGCGCGGCTATACTATCTATTTTAGTATAGCCGCACGGCGATATTATTTATTAAAAAAATGACAACCCTAGTATAACCGCGCGGCTATACAATCTATTTTTCAACATAAGGTAAAACCGAGTATAGTCGCGCGGCTGTACTAATTAGTAAAAAAATAAAACCCGAGTACCGCCCGACGGCTATAATGTTTATTAAAAAAGGAAAACCCGGGTATAGCCGGGCGGCTATACGATCTATTTTACAAAATAAGGTAAAACCGAGTATAGTCGCGCGGCTATACTATTTATTAAAAAAGGAAAACCCGAGTATAGCTGGCCGGCTAGATCATTTATTTTTTAAAAATAACTTAAAAACCGTGTATAGCCGGTCGGTTATACTGCATAAAATATACTAACATTCATACAGTATAGCCGCGCGGCTATACGTTTATTTTTGAAAAATAACTTAAAAACTGTGTATAGTCGGTCGGTTATACTGCATAAACTCTGTATGGCAGCTTGGCTGTACGTTTAAAATACATCGGAGTATTTTAAAAGTATAGCCGATCGGCTATACGGCAATATTGTTTTCTTTTTTTGTAATTAAGTAATATCTTAGCTTTTTTAAAATACTAATTATTTACTAAATAAATAATAATTGAAATATAATTACTAATTAAAGTAGTGATTAGCTCCTTGAAGGCTTTGCCAAAGTTCAACCTAGAGATCTGACCAAGCGAGTTGACTGATCGGTAAGAAATAACTGGGTTTAAAGTTTTCGTTGTTGGGGCCTCTCCCAATTGAAGTGCTAAAATGATCTCAATAGAATGGTAAACAAAAGAGAAAATTGATTCGTTTTTGCTTTGCTTATGGTCAGGTCAATTTGAGAAATAATTCATGCCTACTGGGCTAGTACATTCAAATCATGCTCAATCATAGTGCAAAGCAGCTTTCTGCCTTTTTCTCACGCAGGCCTGTTGTATATATTCTCATATACAGTCCCAGTAGGGTAAGACATGCAAGGATTGTTATTATGGCATTTTCTTTGTGTCCAATGTAGTACTAGTGGTAGTTGGACTGAAACGTTACAAACTTAAAAACATTTACTCATTTGTGTTACATTCAATACAAGGTCTCTTAGTTGAATTTTGATTGGAATGACGAGAAAAACTTAGTTATCACTGCCACTGGTATATGTATGTATTATACATGTGCATCTCTCTTAAACAACATACACCCGTTTCAAGTAAGTATTTCTCTGATACAACCATATTCTAATAGTTGAAAATGAAACGGAAAGGAAAATTTGTGTATTGAAGTGTTTGAAATGTGCTAGTAAAGTTTGCCTTATTTAGCTGAAGTTTCAAAATTTACCGAGAAAAAGAGAGAACAAGATAGTTATTATGAATTTATAAGAAGAAAAATAAATTAATCAAGGAAAATGAGGAAGCTTAAACTCTGTTGTAGCCAACCGTCTTGCTGAACAGATTGCGGATGTACACCACTTGAAGAGCACTTGCAGCAGCAAACACAATGTACTCTGCAAGTGTGAAGTAGATCACACGTTTTTTCGTGCTAACATTTGCTGTTAAGAAAGAAACCAGGATAATTAGAAAATTTAGGGTTCTTTAATTTGTGATTAAGAGAGAGAGAGAGAGAGAGAGAGAGCAAAGGGGCAGATGAGGCTTACTATATCTATGCCTGGCATCTCGTGCTTTAAGGTACTTTTGCTCTGTTGTTATAGACTCCAATGCCTCCCTCAGCTCAGCAATCTTAATATTAAGAGGGTCTATATGTTCTGCACCAAAAATAGAAAAGACAAAGATCATATGGTTTCCTAGTGTTCGTATTTTTGCTACCATGGTACAAAAAGCACGTTGAACTAACTGACCGTCTCTAGCCAAGTCATGTTCATTTGGGATGTGGCCAACATGAATGTAGAAAGATACAGTCTCCGGAGTTGAAACCGGATTGCGAAAACAGAACTTGTAGATTCCACTCTGCGGCGCCTTGAACTCAAACTTATCCCCTGATGTTCCTTTTAGAGAGAACACTATGGTACCTCTTGGAGTCATCGCCTGCATAAACCACGCAAAAGTTGCACATCCATTTGAAAACAAATCGTGCATATTTTTTTTATATGCACTCAATTATTAACCAACGGTTTTGATTTGATTCACAATTTGACAATATAACATTAGATTATTTAACAATTAAAATATTGTGATTTTCCAATATAAAGTACATGCAAATTGATAGAAATGGATGACAGGAAACTTACGGTGAAATCGATACCGGGATGATCGGAGCTCCAGAAGATGTCATGGTCGATAGCAACAAAGTTTCCGGAGACGGTATCTCCCTCGTACAAAACTTGCTCCGAGACACATTCCAAGTCTGTCACAGTGATTGAAAGAGCAGTAGCAAAATTCCCATTGCCAATGAGGCTCATAAGAAAACCATATGCTACGTAAATCTTCCCGTACGAAAATCTCTTTCTTGTCTCCATTTTGATCTTTACCCTGAAATTCAATTCACCATTGCACTGAATCTTGGGAGAGAGAGAGAGAGTGTGTGTGCGCTTCCTAAAATGTGAAATAAAAAAGGCTCAAATTTCGGTAAACTCGTTATGATCCGTGGGTTAACTTCATATTTTGGTTGACCTATTGGGCCTGGAACTTGGGCTTAGCTTCCTACCTCATTAACATTATTTTTCATTATTTTTAATTTTTTTAAAATAAATTTATTTGCTATGTCTCTCTGCTATGGTCAGTAACCGAAGCTCAGCGAGAACAGCAATGGAGGAATCTCTGCAAATTCAGAGGTTGGAGGAAGCTCCTTCGGCCAGAAACTTCGAGTCTCGGATCGAATCCACGAACTTTCCCGCTGTAATTTTCTTATTATTTCACATAATAAACTGCAAATTTCTTCGCGCCCTGCTTATTCACAAGCATTGCTGGCTCTCACTTGCTCTGCGTGTTCTTGCTTTATTATTCTCAATAGGTTTTCAATGGCTGTGTTAAGAATTGGAAAGCTTTCTCCAAATGGAATCCATCGAATGGCGGCCTCGACTATCTGCAGGTTTCTCTGTTTTTTTTCAGTTTATTTTTCTTCTTCAGGTCTGCTTCGTTTTCTAAATTTTAGTAAATTAGGAACTGTGTAGTTAAAATAGTTTTGTTCGAAAAATCGGCCTAGGCGGCGCCTAGGCGCTAGGCGGGTCGGGTCCTTTTTTTTCCCTGACTTTAAAGTACCTCACGCTGCCTCTCTCTCCTCTGAGCCGTCGTCTCCTTCTCTCTCTCTCTCTCTCTCTCTCTCTCTCTCTAACGAGTCACGACAGACCACCAATGCATCATTGTATGTATTATTTGAAATACATATAATGATGTACTAAACCAGTAACCAGTTCTTTCTCCTGAATTATGCTTCAAGGAGCTAGCTGCTGCTGCATAATATTTTCTGGGATCAGCTGTTATTTTTGTTTCGGTTTCTAGTCATGTGCTCATTGCATGTACTATTGACTTCTTTCCTTTAACTGAATTGAATTTTGTGCTTGATATCATTCTGATGAATGGAAAACTAGGAACGAGTCGGATTGTGTGTTGTGGAGGCTATGCTATCTAGTTCTGCACCTGTCTTCTACGGTGATCTTAGAAGCCATGAGAGGGTAATCTATATGGTGTTTGCTAATGGTCTGGAGCTTTGAATTTTTGTCTCTTCTGGATCTCATTGGGCCTAACTAGTTTACTACCCCTTCCTTTTGTAGGTACCGCTGCCATTTTCTGCCTTCATTGGTCTATGTAAGCAACGCATGCGTCATTCAGAGGATGGTTCTGGCGTTTGTTTTGAATCAGAACAGCGTGGACTATTGGAGCCTGTATCTGAGTATGACCGTAAGCCCTATGAGGATGCTCCTCAACAAATATATTTAGCACAGGTTTAACATTCAATGGCTTTAAGATGATGGATATCTTTGTGTCTAAGTATAATCTGTTTTCTTTTCATTAATGTTGTTAATGCCATGCCTATGATTAGTCATTTTAGGATACTTTTGTTCCTTATTTGGATGAATATTTTTTAGGATGTACTTTATGTAGTATGTTAGACTTTTTAGGTTTGTTTGAAGGGTAATGGTCTCGCATCTTTGGGATGTAACTTTTGTCATGTGTGATTCAGGTACCAATAATCAATACTGAAAATGAAGAGAGGGTTCAGTTAGAATCTTTGCGGGAGGATATCCAAACGGTTTGTGAATTTCCTGTACTAGTCCTTACTGTTTACTCTACAGGCTACCACTAAAGAATCCTTTTCTACATCCTTGATCTCTAATGAACACCAGTTGTTTTCTGTAGCCTGTATTTTTGGAGGATAAAGTACTAGCTTCTACAAACCTGTGGATGAACAATGCTCAAGCTAGATCAAGCACTCACTATGATCCACACCATAACCTTCTCTGCATAGTTTCTGGCTGCAAACAAGGTCAAATCACTTTCTATGGCCCTCTTAGTGCATAGGGTCTTTTTCAACTTCAGGTTCACTAGGTTTTGTATATTACCGGTGCTCTTTGTTCACGGAACGATTAGATGCAAAGAAAGAGAAGTGATCTTTGCTTTTATAGTTTGCTTGCATGCCTAGAAAAGTGATTGTTTAGCCTTATTCTTGTAGGGCCGCAAATTTAAGGATTATTTCTATACTGAAAACTTGGTTTGAAGTTGCACGCAATTTTTGTCTAAAATAGAGTTTTTTTTCTTCTTATTTAATAATTTTCAATGAGAAACTTGTATGCTTCGTAGTGGTTTTATGGCCTCCTTCAGCAAGTGCTATGTTATACCCTATGCCAATATATGGGGAGGCATCAAATCATAGGTATGGCACTTTCTGTATTAATTATATGAATTCAAATTAATGTCTTCTATAATTATTTAATTATGAAAATTCAATGCTTCTATTTATTTACTCATTTGTCTATCTTTCTATCAATAAAGAGATCTATGTGCAGCCTGTCAGTGTTTTTATTTTTCCCTCTTGTGGCCTCTTGGCAGTTCCGTTCCTTTAGAGAACCCAGACTTTTCAAATTATCCAAGAGCACAATGTTTAATGGAGTACTCGCAGAAGGTTATTCTTCACGCAGGTGACGCGCTTTTCATTCCTGAAGGCTGGTAAGGTTTATTATACATCAGTGTTCATTAGGAGTCTTCTCTCTTTTCTTCCTTCCCCCCCTCCTTTTGTAATTTATAACTTGAATGAAATATTCTTAATGGCTATTTCTGTTTGCCACAGGTTCCACCAGGTAGACAGTGATGATCTGACCATTGCTGTCAACTTTTGGTGGCAGTCCAACATAGTGTCAAACATGTCAGAACACATGGATGCATATTATCTGCGCATAATATTAAGAAGGTTTGTCATAGAGTTTCTATTTTAGCTAGTAGGCAAAGCATTTCCAGAACAGCTAACTTGATTCTGTTTCTCTCTTGTGATTCATTTACTTGTCAAATCCGCATCGAAAGATTGACAGATAAAGAAAGTGTACATACCTCTCTCTCTCTCTCTCTCTCTCTCTCACACACACACACACACACACTCACACTCAAACACACAGAGCTAGATATATATTTGTCTGTTTATTTAATATGGTGGTCATATTTTCTGTATTTTCTTCTCCCCCACCTCCCTTTTAAATCTTTGAATCAGAAGTTTATAATTGAGCACTATAAGTATATTTAATTTTTAGGACAGAACCGAGTGCTGCCTAAATCTTCTTTAGCTGAAATGGAGAACAAGAAAAAGCATACATGTGTGGTGCTTAATAATGGAGGAGTAGGTCAGTATCTATAAGCTCACTGATAGATCATCATATATTAAGATTACTAGGTATTGCTTCTTTCCAATTATTTATCATAGAAAAGAAAGGAAATTTGTAATGAATCTCTATGGCCTTGGAAATTCTTTCTGCTGACATCCATAACTTGATATGATCCCCACCCAGATCAGAATGACAATGATTTGGATCAGGCATGTGAGAGAAAGGATCTTAAAGGGAAGGAACTAGAGCAAAGAACCATGTCTCATGAACTGGAACCCCTCGCTATCCATGCTCTTCATGAACTTGTTTCTTTAGTTCACCATCGTGTTAATGCTGCTGAGCTAAGACGACCAGTGCGATCCACTTCAACAACTGATTCTGCAGATAGTGTGAAAGATGAATTCACCAAAGTTGTGAGAGCAAATTCATTTAGTTTGGAAGATGACCCAGTTGCTAAAATTATTTGGGCTCTTCAACCGTGCACTTTTAGAAATGTATTTCTGGCCATGGTGGTGAGTTTGAACAGTTTTACTTTCACTATATAGCTTAAACTAGTAAATTGTAATAGGTTACTAGACTTTCGTTTCATGTGAGATGTTCTTCGTTAATATAAAAAAGTGTGATAAAGCAAGGCATTTTCCATTAAGTAGGCGTGTGTTGCATGTGATATAGTAACAGCTGAAGCAAAGAGCAGGTCTTCTTACTTGGATAGGGGTAAATTTTCATATAGGACCTTCAATTTTATGGGTCGTCTTTATTCCCTATTTTGTCTATTATTCTGGATGCTCGTCCCTTATGATGATGTCTCTATGCTTTTGCTAGTGAAAATTGTCCCATCTAACAGAAAAGTGAGCTTTGGTAGTTTCTCCTTTGAAGAGGCTTGCTTGACTGCTTTTTCTCTTGTTTCTGTATGTTTTTTTTTCTAAAGGGTGTGCAAGAATGCAGCTGGGCAGGACACCCCTCCTCCCCCCTTTTTCTCATTTTAACCCTTGATTTTTAGTGACTTTCATAAGCTATACCCTTTGGTAACGCCGTCATGGCAAAGTGGTGAGGGGACTAATGCAGCTGCTCTGATTAAAGAGATTATTGTTTCTGATCAAAGATCTCTTTGTATTCTCAGCCACATTATGATAACTATATATTGGTAACTTAGTTTATGAGCTAGTGACCAAGCAACGTTTATATTATCTTTTGCAGAAAAATTTCCCAAGAACTCTGGAGGCTTTAATACTGCACTTGCTTTCACCAGTGGGAGCAGAAGTGCTTACATGTAAATTTGAAGAAATGGATCAACAGATCACTGAGGAAGATCGGTAATTGTTAATTTGTCGTTAAATCTTTTGTGAAAAGGTGAAGATCTGTATTCATCTTCAATCTGCTATTCATATTCATCATTTCAGGAACAGATTCTACCAAGTTTTCTATGGGGCATTTGACGACCAATTCGCTGCGATGGATGCAATTCTAAACGGGAAAGAATTATTTGCACTCCAGGTAATGCTGTGCATGTTGAAACATGTCTTTTGACACTAATGATAACATCTATTTCTGTCATAAAATAGTGGAGTATAATGTGCACATATGGATTATTCTTGATTTGTTCCCATATTTTCGTGTTAGGTAGGTGGGTACTCAATAATGTTTGTAAGAAAAAATTGGGTAGGGGATGATTTGGAGCGTAAGATGTTCACTGGCTCACCTTCTGTATGATGACCATCTCTGGTATGAAAACATGATTAACCTAAGCAGACCAGTTTGTTCTGGAATAGTCAATGCAGATTCTTAAATGGTTGGAAATTAGTTAAAATTGATGTCACGGACTACCATAGTTAAGTACATTGTCCCGTTTGATATTCTTGTCATTTTAAATGTTTAAAAATATCAAAATTTGAAGCACTCTTTGTTGGTTGTCCCTAGAGTGGAGAAAGCCACTCTCCTGTTGTCCATTATGTTGTTGAGATTACCTAGTCTTGACTAGAGCTGGGCAGGGAACAGGGTCACAAGTTAGTTGTTAATATGGAACCAGGGTTCAATCTCTTGTCTTTTCCATGATCAGAGATAAGAAAAAAGTTAATTATTTTAACTTCATCATTTGATTTTGTTTGCTTGCATGACCTTAGCATATCTAATTTTACTGGAAGTTTTCTGATGGGCCGTGGGTCCTTCTTGTCATGTGAATAATGCCGTGCTGCATGGCCGCCTTATGTATGTAATTCTTCTGGATAGTTTTGGATGTATATGTTTTCCTTTATTTACAGTTGTACAGCTGGAATCCACTTCATTTGAGAACTTTGCATTCTACTCGTGAATTTTCTGATCTTTTTCAACCTATTGACAACCTTATTTTCCCCCAATTAAACAGCCTTCTTAGACTTTTCGTTTGAAAGGCCTTTGTTCTTGCCCTAGTTCTTTACATTTCCCAATCATCACCTAGATGGGGAGTTGGTGAATTTGTTTAACTCTCCATGCAACTATTGATTTCCCCTTCGTAAATGAGCAAAATTGAAAATTTGTCGGTACAGTATAAAATGTTGCTAGTTGCCCAATGATGCATACAGAGTAGATTGATGTAAATTCTCATTTACTGTATTCTTTGTTGCAGGCATACAAGAATGTGTTAGATAAGTATTTGGGAGTGGATTGGGGTGGGCCAAAACCCGGGGTCTGACGAAACTTCTTAAAGAAATTGGTCCCGTAGTATCTTGACGGAGCAAATCGATGCATATTCATTACAGAAACTTTTTCCCCCCCTTGAATTCTCAAGAGTACTTTACAAGTGTTCATCCACAGGCTCCTAGAATTCAAGTCATCACTAGCTTTAAGCATATTGTTTTATCATTGGTTGTACATTCTATGTGATTGCATATGCTCTGCAACTTTTAGGTTCCTGATGCGCTATGTGGATTATAGTTTTTGAGTTATATGTTGCGTTACTTCACAGAGAGAGTAGAGAAAAATTGTTGGTGAAAAGAAATAGGGGACCTTTTCCTTCTTAATTTGATTTGAAAACATTGTATTTTATGTGTCGATGGAATTGATGGGAGAGGGTCAATTAAAGTATTCTTAGTTGTAACTGAGAAAGTAGAATCAGTTAAGGACCACAGGCGTGCTGGGAACATGAACAAACAGTCCATATATAGTACCCAGAAGCAAATGTTCAGAGGCTTATACAATGCCAACTATTTCTCTAAATTTTTTCTTCAAACTTACACAGCATTATCTAATTCGGATAAGTAGCATTTTTCGACTTGTTTTCTTCTATGAAATGGGTACAATTGAGCAAAATCAAGCATGAACTTAAGTTGGAGGGTGGATTCTTGTCATGGAAGTTTAAATCTTAATCCAACTTTTTCTTGGGTAAATAATTCTTGATCCCATTTTCTCAAAGCAAAACATATAAATGTGTATTAAGTTCTACATGCTTTGTTGAATTAGTAGGAGTGAGAGGGTTGTGGAAAAGGAGGAGTTGTATGGGAATTTGCAGCACAAGGGGAAAAAAGGATGGAAAAGCATGGAAAAGGGGTTTTGGGTAATTATAAGAATTGGAAGGACAAATTAAAAGAGGGGAAAAGGAGGTTTTGTTGAGGAGAGATTCCCTGGTGGAAGATGACATATGCAAGGGAATAAGGATGCTGTGAAAGAAAGAAAGAGAGGGAATAGAAGAGGGAGGAGAAGCTTTTGGTTTGTCTGGTTGTGCAGATAAAAAGATGCAGTCCCTTTTACTAGGCAAATGGCATATATTGTACCTTAACCCTGCAACTTATACATAAACTTTCTAAAAGCTTGGATATACCATAACCACCCAACCCTTCCTTTCATTAATCCCTAGGTTCTCTCTCTCTCTCTCTCTCTCTCTCTCTCTCTCTCTCTCATGGTGGATATACTGGGTTGTAGCAACAAGATCCATTCCTTTAATTAGGTCAATGATTTTTGAAAAGAACGCTTACATCATGTGTTCGAAAAAAGAAATGTTCAACAATTGACATGCACAAATGGATTAGTTAAATACAAATGAAAATTGCAACCTAATGATCCATTATGTATCGAATTAGATTAGGACATTCAAATCTGATTAAGCAACTTTCTTATCGAATGGGGATTATGGTACGAGGCAATTTGACAATCTCTTTATCATCAATTTAAGCAAATCAAGACCTAAACATGCAAACATTTCTAAGCATATATAGTTTATCAAGTGTTGGGATTTGGTGATCAATAGCCGGGTCCATGTTAAAAAAAACAAAGACGACGACATTACTCCAATTATGGGAGGAGCTGCCAACCAAGCCAAAGGCTGTGAGCCAGTGATGTGGGGAAGTGCACAGAATTTGATAAAGAGCAGTCCATCCATCAAGTAAAGAGAAGACAGAATTATTTTTCAAAGTTGCATCTATCTATCTATCTGTCTAGCGAGCAAGCTACCATCTTTTTCATAAAACCGTTGACATTTTACAAGCTTTCATTTTTATTTTCCCTCTACATCTCTTTTCTTTTCTTTTTCTCTTTTGCTGGGTTTAGTAGTACCACTATGCATGTCCCCGGACCACCACCATCACACCCAGCACAGATTCACACACCATCAACTTATTAGTTTGCCTTTCTACTCACGCTCACAGCAAGTTTTACATTCTACGGCTTAGTCTTCTCTGTCTCTCTTTAGAAAAGGCCATCTTCCCTTGAAATTTTTAAAATTTTCCACACTACCCAGTCAGTCATCCTTTCTCTCTCAAGAAATACTTCCCTATTCTCGTTGCATTGCCCCATTCGTCCTTTCTTTATTCTCTTTTAATAAGTGACATTAGGAGAATATAGGAAAAATGGGGTCAATGCAAAACGGGAGTAAGGAAGTTTTTCTCTGCCCCAAAAAAAAGTGACATTAAAAAAGTTCTTCAAATTCTCAAATTCCAAATACCACATGATAATCATCACATACAATGGAAGAACGGTAATGATTCACTTTTGAATATAAGATATCATCATGCAAACAAATGGTTAATTATTTTGATTTGACACCTTGAAATTATCTCCATAAAAGTTTATTTAATTAATTATAGTAAAATCTTATTATATTATACGTGAAATTATATCCATGAAATTCATTGCTTCAATATAGGCTATAGCTATAAATGTTCAGTCGAAGCTATTATTCCAGTCATTTTGTTATGTCCCTCTAGCCTCTCTACCAACATGCTCTACTTCCATCTCTTATTATTTTGTTTCCATTCAATTATAATTATCGTTTTTGGCGTTAATCTATTTGTAATTAAGCTGTAAATGGAGGAGGAGGGTGTTATTGGAATTCCAGTGCATGCAATGATGCACACCGTGCATGTTAATATTAGTACTGGGAGGCAGAGTGCATTCTTTGATACGTACTCGTTGTTGGTCTACGACCAGAATGTACTCATAACACAACTAAATCTTTTCCGTGAATTAAACGGGGTCTTAGAACACAACCAAGTCTCTCATGTGATTTCCTAAAAACTTAAAAGACTTTCCAGGCAAATTGCTTCATGAAATGTAAACAAAAAGATTAATAGATAATTAAGCTAGCTAGTAAAATATGGAATTTTTGTTGTGACCGATGGCTGAAGACTTACTCACGTACGAAATATAAAAACAACTATCACAATCCAAAAAGAGTTTAATTTCACCCATTTTCTGCCATATTTATGTCTGGAGTTTGGACGAGGGTCATGGGACGCAAGGGTCTTTTTGTCATTTCAAAAAGCTCCATATTACTCTTTTACCCTCGCGGTCAAACTTGAGGCTCAACGCAGTCAACAGTCTCCCCACGTTTCCGAGGCAGCAGCAGTGGTCTCAGCGAACCCAAAACCTTGGGGCTTCAGCAGCAGCGAATTATTATGACCACGCAGGGCCTGATCGTACGGCTGTTGCTGCTGTTGATGGAACTCTACGCCCCCGGCGTACGTTAGCATGTCCTTGACGACGTTAACAGCACCAACATTATGATTCCCCGTGCCATCCCCGGTCAGACCAAGAAAATCCCTTGTCAGGCGGTCAGTCTTCTGCCACGTGGCGAGATCCCCGGACGTGAACTCGCCTAGATAGTCGGTCGAGATCATATTCATATGGGTCGCTGTTCCAAACTCGCCCACGGTCAAGCCAGCGGACTGAGCCTGTTGGCCAGCAGAGGCTGCTGCTGATGATGCAGAACCAACGGTTGCAGCCTTTTGGAGGAGCGCAGTGGCTGACAGGTGAGCGGATGACGTGGAGGGTTTTGAGCTGGGATGTGTGCTGAGATGGAGGTTCTGGAAGGGTGAGGTCAACAAACCCTTGTGGGATTGTGTTTTTGGGAAATGGTTGTGGTGATGAGATTCAGTCTTGATGAGATGGTGATTAAGGTTAGGGTTAGGGTTTTGATGATGAGGTGGGTCCCAGGGAGTGAGGGAGATGGTGGTGAAGGGTGGTGGTGGGTTTTGGAAAGGGAAGAGAGAGATTTGAGGTGTCATAATATTTGGGTTTGTGGTGGTGTTGGTGGCGGTTAACTGGCTTGCTGACAGTTTTGCACTTTCTTCAGCCAAAGCATCACAAAATGCCCTGTGAGTTATGAAGCTGTCCTTCCTATATATATATATATGCACATTATTCACAAGCCAACACAATATATAAGTCATAATTCAGAACTTGAACAAACTGAAAAATAATGTAACAATGGAGCAGAAATTATTAGAGAAGTGAGGGACATAAACGTCAAAGAAAAATGATATATATATATATTCATTAAATTACATGAATATGGATGCATGCCAATGCCATGATTGAAGCTTAATATTATATAATGCATGCAAAAAGATGGGGATGGATGAATGGATAAATTGAAATGGAAAAGAATTACGATTTGGTTGAAAAAAGAAGTCGTGCATGAAAACAAGCTCAAGAAATGAGAGATTTACATTGATGAGGGAAAAAAGAAAGCAACTGAGGTTCAGAATAGCAGCAGCAGCTGATATTCTTGCAGATTTATCAGTTTTTTTCATAATGACCGAGCTCATCTCATCATAGTCTCTCTGTCTTCTGCAACTAATTAATGCCACATGCTTCATGTCCAAGACAAAAATATATATATATATATATATAAAACTGGTCACGGGTTTTCCCCAACCATGAAATATATATCCCCAAAAGTTCTTCAAACTTCTTTAACTTTTTCTTAGCTTCCCCATCATTGTTCTAGACCATATGCAGCAGCAGCAGACACACTCCATTGCAAAATACCAACAAAGAAAACCAATTCGAATTGTTTTTATAAAAAAAAACTTGTGAGCAAAAGAACTTGATGAAGCATCAACTACAAGGACTTGAGGACACAACATATATAAAACCAAAAGGTTATAATTGAGTGCTACTTTCTTTCTTTCTTTCTTTAATTTCAAAGTTTCAAACACACACATGAGCACGGCAGGCAAGTTCAGATGACAGTCACTTGTATTTATGGTGTTCATTTTGGTGCAACTTTTTTTTAAAGTTAAAAAAAAAAATGAGAAGAAATTAAATCACCTGGAGAAAAGGGTTCCACAGTCGCATCTATATTCTCTTGTACCACAGGTTTTGGAGTGAGCCTTCCAATCAGATTGAACAGCATAGATCTTGGAGCACTTGTCACACTTCCACTTCTTCTCCCCATGCTTCCTGCAAAAGTGCTTCTTGATCCCAGTGAGGTCACCCAGTGCTCTTGAAGGGTGGTGATGAACACATGAGGGCTCAGGGCAGACATAGGCTCTCTTTCTGATCTGATCCTTGTTGTTTCTTTGCTTCAGCTTCCATGGAAGGTTGTGGCCTCTCCTGTGAAGCTGAAGATTCTGATCTCTCTGAAACCCCTTGTTGCAAATCTCACACACAAATCTGTTTGTGGCCAGTAGAGTCTTTGGGGATAATGCAATCACTTCAGCATCTGGGTCTGCAACGAACACATCCATAATATAATCAAACACAATATTTTTTAGTACAAGCGATAATCTTAGCTACATCGAATCTAATTGAAAGTAAAGGGTAGGCTTTAAAGTGTATTAATTAGTACCTGGGTTTCCAGGGAGACTTCTTTTCATTTTGATTTTGTTGGTTGGGTACGGGTGCTGGTGATCAGATTGATGAGGAGAAATATTGGTGGAGAGAAGGAGTGGGTTTAAGGGGCCGAAGTCAGAAGAAAGACTATTAGCTTCCTCAGACAAAGAAGTGGAATTAGACATAGCAGGAAACATTGTTGCTTCTTGGACTGAGAGGAAAACTCCAAAACAGAGAAAAACAAATTAAATTTGAAAGGAAGCTGATGAGAGATCTCCTTAGATATTTGAGAATAGGGAGATCTTCTCTCCCTCCTTACTGCTTGTTCACTTTTGCACCTTTGAACAAATTAGCAGGAGAAATGAAAGACTTAAACCTAAGCAGAAAATAGAGAGAATCCCAGCTAGCTGCTTTTGGACACAAACTAATAAGCAGAAACAACAGGTGGCAGAAGCACAGAAACACATAAATATATATTCATTTTTGAGTGGCAAAAAAAAAAAAAGCACAAAATATATATTCAATCTCGTGAAGTAGTGATGATGATGATGATGATGATGATGGGTTATTCGATCTCCATGTCACTATCTTAGCTAGGCCAGGGGTCATGGATTGCTTGTCTGAGCAACTCTGCAAAACCTATACAATACAGATGTCCCTCTCTCTCTCTCAGACCATTATCAAGAGCTGTTGTCCATGCAAATCCAACATGGAAAGAACAGACAATAAGATGTTTTTTTTTTTTTTTACTCAGGACCTCATCACTATCCAATAAGCCTCTCCTTTCTATATGATTCTCTCTCTCTCTCTCTCTCTCTCTCTCTCTCTCTCTTTATTTGAAGTTAGAGAGCGACAGGGTAAATTATGAAGAGGATATTTCAGTACTCAGTAGCAGCCTGGTGTGTTATTTTGTAGGCTTGTAGTGTACAGGTAGTGTGATGATTATAGTGGCAGACTAAGCGAGGCAAATTGGAAATTTCTTGAAACAAAAGGAAATAAAAAAGAAATAACACACAAGTAGAGGAAAAAGGCCAAGCTAGGGAACCCAAGAAAAAGCTAGAAATTCTGCAAAGGAGGTCAGCTAAAGCAAAGACGAGGAAGAAGCCCAATATCCACCCAATTCATCACTAGATTTCTTTTTCTTTTCTTTTCTTTTTCCTTTTTTTATAATAAAAAAAATTCAATTATTTTTTTTTGTGTTCGTTTTCATTTTTGAAGTGTGACGTTGGCACTTTCTGTCTTTTCCTTTGTTGCTGTAATAAAATACCCAAACCCTAAAAGGGCCTTGATTGATTTTGAATGGAATGAATATTAAAAGGAGCGATTTCTTACATGAAGGAGACTTAGGAAAATGAGAAGCTTAAAAAGCTTTGTCTCAAGGCAAAGGGTGGTGGTGGCAAAAGGCAATATAGATAGATAGATGGACCGACCCTTCTCAACTCAACCTTTTTCTATAATATATTGTACCCCACTATTAACATGATTGATCCATTGATTGACTATTTTATATTTAATATTTTTTTAATGTGCAATTATATAAAACACTAATAAAATTTGTCTACCTTTATTCAATCATTAATTCCTCCTAAAACCCATCTTAATTTTTCCTATTATGTTTTTTTATTTTAAATCTAAATTACAAGAAAATGGATTCAAATTCGGATACAGAGTTGGAAGCACATATGTTGTAGCCAACTTAACTTAGGGTTCATTTGGAAGTGCTTTTAGATTCTAGAAGGGTTAAAAGCACTTTATGACAACTAAAAACCCTTCTAACAATGTTTAACATAAAATTTTAGAAGTGCTTATGAGCCATAGAAGCACTTTCTGGAGAAGCACCTATTATGTGCTTATTCAGAAAGCACTCCCAAGTGTTTTTCCAGAAAACACTTCAATTTTTTATGAAATTCTCAACAACTTTATAATAAAAGCACTTATAAGCAGAAGTGCTTCCTAGAGAAGCAGTCCTAAACGAGCCCTTATATTCACAAGTGAAAAATGAATCATTTGGGTGATGTTGAATTTTTTGATTTGAAGCCTTGCTTGCTTATTGTGAGTTCCATTCCACCTTATTTCTATCTCAACCTATAATTATTGAAAAACACATAATGATTTTTTGGGTGATTTTAAATATTATTCCAAGCTTCTCTATCTGCAATTATTTTCATCAAGTTGTCATTGAATTATTATGGAGGGTTAGAATTAATTCATTTTCTTGGTTGCCATAATATATTTGAGGATTTCTTTTCCCTTTCTGTCTCTCTTTCTTTTGTTATTATTATTCTCTCAGATCCTAGTGTACAGTGAAAGTGCTCCAAGCAAACCCCACCAAGGAGGGAATTTGGAAGGCCCTCCTCCTACCCTCTTTTCTCTTTTCTCTTAACTTTCTTTATTCCAAACCCAAATCTAAAGCCATAAGCGAATTGTCCACTTTGTCCCCATGAGTTGCCAAAATTAGCAAGCCCTTTGCCCTCTACTTTTATATCATAAGATGGTTAAAAGTGTCCTTGGCAAGGGATTCTCCTCCTTTTGAAGCCATGCGTGGCCTAATATAACATGGCAGCAACCATGCAAACCAATCCCTTAAGCCATAGGCGTGTTGGGCATAGGACCCATCACAGTTCATCTATTTTTTTTTATTTTTTATTTTGCTCTTATAAATCCTTTTGGAATCCTATGTGGTTTCTTTTGATCTAAATCTTTTGAATATGCAGGGCTTTTTAGTGAGATTCATCTTCTTTTCTTTTGGGATAAGATGATATTTATGCTTCACTGATCATCACCTTTAAGGCAAACAGTGCAATGCACAATGGCTCATGAAATTAACAAAAGATAAATAAAGCATCAATGGACTTTAGTCAACTCGGTGAAACAGACGTTCTCACCACTTTGCACTCGACTTTGAATTCCCCTCCTCAATTTGGGTAAAGCACTCTAACTATAACATCATAGTCCATATTTAGAACTGAACTGAACAAGGCAATATTCTCTGTAAAATCACCGCCCAAAACATTTTCCACCCACCATTTTGGCTCTTCACCAAGTTAACCAAAATTTTATTGTGAAATTGTAAGGGGGCAAACAGAAACTGGATCATTTTGCTTTATTAATTGAAACTTGAGAAATAGAGCAATCCCTTGCCTTTGAATGTGTTTGGGTTTTTTGGGGCTCTTGTTTGTTGTTTAGTGTTTGGTTGAGTATGTTTTGTTACCTTTTTTTTCCTTGTTCAACACATTAATTTGGTTTTTAGCTGAAAAAGAGAAGATTAAAGGACATTTGACAAACAGGGGAGATCCTTTCAAGGACAAACAGAGGTCAAAATTTGTCCTTCAGAACCATATATTTGGATCCAGCTAGGCTCCTGGAACTGGAATTTAGTGGCTTTACAAATTGACCAAAATGTTCAATGGGACTGGCTTATTATAGTCTTAGTTTAATGATATTGTTAAGGCAATGGACAATATTCACAAGTGCACGAATCAACAATAGTATAGATATGCAAGTAGGAAGTCGAACCCACAAGGGTTTATAAAACAACTTAATCAATTAAATTGCACTAAACTTAATTAAGCAAACAATTGTTCGATTGATAGGAAAGTATTTACATTATCATGACTATAATGGTTTCATTTGATCAAGAAACTATGAGCAACCCCTCAATTAAAAATGGGATTTTGCTAATTAAACACAATCATCTACAAAGATGGTGTAAAACAACTAACTATTGTTTAATAATAAACAAAGTAGGTCCACAAGATTTGGCCAAGCTGAGAAACCCAAGTAGCATGGAGATGTGAAAGTTTTACCCTTTCAAGTAATTGAAGCGTACATGAAGTTAATGACAGCCATCTCATATTGTTTGTTTGTTCTTTGCTGATTCTAATTTGAAGCTACCTTATTATAACTCTCTTCTCTTCTTATGCTCTGTTGTGCATGCTGAGAGAGAGAGAGAGAGAGAGAGGCACATTTCATATTTTTTTCATGAACTGGAAAGAAAATACAAATGCGGGCCATGCCTTATTCACGGGTTCTTTCTATTGCCAGATTCTCACATGCAAGTTTTGGCTTTGGAGGCAAATGAAAAGGCAAAAAAATACAGAGGAGGACCTTCCATGACACTTCACTTTCTCTGCTCACCTCTCCAAGCTTAATTAGTAGATAAACTTGTTTAGGCGTCTAAACTACTCATTTATGACATGGCTTAAAATATCTTAATCAATATATTAATCTACCAAGAAGAAACCCTCTTGCATTGCATCCTTTACACACTCAATAATCTTGTCCAGACTTACAAGTATCTCATATTTTGACTTTCTGACATGTTCCTATTGCTAATGCCTTGCCCTGCATGCTCTGCCTCTAATAAAATATATGCTCTGCCTAAAATCCCACCGACACAGAGCATGAAAGCTAAAAAGTGCTGGCTTCCAACCCTATGAAAAATACAAAGATTTATTATATATTTGATTTTTTTTTTTTTAAATTCAAGCAATACTGGAGAGAAGAATCGAACCTAGGACCTCAGTGCAAAGGTTAATGCTCTTATATATTTGATTTTTAAGGGAGGCTCCCAAGCCTTCAAACCCCGAGTCATTCTTTAGTGACGACCTTATATATGGCCTTTAGGTAACGTCATATCTCTTAACCGTTGGATCAAGCGAACCAATTTAATTTAACGGCTAATCAATTTGATCCAAAATTTTAGAAATAGACCTCACTTAATGACCAAATATCAGTCCCTCACCATAGAATTCTTGATCTCATGAAAGCTGAGTATTTCCTGGCCTCTCAAACTATGGGCTTAAAAAAACATCACCGGCGGCTGCAATGAGCCACGGGAAGTTAGTGGGCACAACTACAGACCCAATTTGATCAACACGGGCTCAAGTGATGGTCATTTTTGTGAATATTACACGTTGGCCATGTATCAATCAGGTAGAAATATTTCCAAGAAGAGAAGAAACAGAGCTCATGGGGATTGTTCTCTTGTGGGGTTTGAGGGTTCCTTCTGGTGCAGGAACTGATGTGGGTTTTGGGAGGTTGATGAAATGGGAAACTGGATTTGGTCGAGGAGGCTGAGAAGATTAAGATTTCAAAATTGGACCGACCGATATCCGAATACGAGAAAAACTTTTATAAAATGGGGATGTCACCAGACAATATCCCGAGCCAATCACACACTGCCATGGGGAATGTTAAACACAAGGCAGCCTAATAAGTGCACAACACTAGACTATTCAAAAATTAAAGGGTTGTGATTTCTTGAATTGGTTTGCCTAAGCTTTTTAAGGGTGGAACAGTCCATCTTCTATTGAAACTTTCCCAGTAAAGTATTAACTTTCTATCATCCGCTAGGCACATAACTTTCTATAATCCACCTCACTAAAAATCTCAGCTTAATTACAGAATCTTGCAGACCCAAGTTTCAATGATTACTCACACAAATTAAACACATTCTAACCCTACTTGTAGAGTTAGAATCATATTATGCTCTTCAAGTTCAACCCAGTCAATCTACTTTGATACTCGGATCCTGTCTTTCTTCATCTGTACTGTAAGTAAGACATCAATTGGGTAAGGAACACATTTTTTATGGTGATGTTTTAAAGAGTGATACTGTACCAGTTTGAGAGTCCACGGCTGATGAAGTGACTGATGAGAACCGTATTTGCCCGACATGAACAAATCTACATGGTACAAATGTAACATTATGAAGTTCATATTACCCAACTACCTCTGTTTATATCTTTACTCAAACAACATAGGACAGTACTCAGTAACAGAAAGTATCATACTGACAAAGTTATCAGCCAATAGTCACTTGGATCCAAAAACAACATTTTGTTTATGGTTCTTGGAGCTTGCAGCTACTCCTTTTCAAGTTCAACAGCTTCTCAACAAATCTACATTCATTTAAGAGGCCAAAATAGATTACAACAGGCAGAGAGAGAGAGAGAGAGAGAGAGAGGGAGAGAGAGAGGGAGAGAGAAACATAATTAATTTCATGTATGATACATGGAACAGTTTTTCAGATATGAAAATTAAACAAGAACCTTGAGATAAATCATCATAAAAACTAGCACAGATTCTGTCCAAGCAATGCCTGCAACCTAACCAAGATAAAGAAACAAGAGAGGGCATTATTAGATGAGAAAAGGAGGCAATTAATAAACAAGTGCAGGGTTAGAAACACCAGAAACTAAGATGGTTTCAACGGATATCAGCCTGCTAATCCCCCTATCCTGTCAATACCAAGAAATCCAGAATGAAAGTTATGGCCTAATGGCACTTGACGAGACTGTAGAGATGCAAAATGAGAGACTATGGAAACAACTGTTGGAGGCCTTAGCCTCCTACCCAAAAAGAAATGGTCAACGAGGCAGTGAACTGAAGAGGACAGAGATAGAAATGCAGAAGAAGTGCAGCTAGCTAGCTCTACTTTGGGCATGAACCTAAGTAACCTAAGCGATCAGCCAAGATAATCACATCTTCATCTTCCCCTACTATTGCACTTGGAATGCTTAAGTCTCCCTCAAATCTCTCACTCTCTTCATCCTGTTCCTTTCTTGCCTTTCCAAATCCTTGCATTTCCAATGCAAGTGCTTCTAGCTCTGACATTTCATAATCACAATCTCCAAATTCAAGAGGCTCACATTTAATGAGGTTTGTTCCCTTGCCCTTTAGGCTCGATTTGCCACCACCAACACCACTAGGTCCTTGATCAATTGGCCTCCTCCTTTTCTTAGTCATGGCTTCCTCAAGCTCCTTCCTTTTATCCTTCTGTTGGACTAGCTGCTGCATAAAAGCTGGGTTTTGCATTGCCCTTGCCAAGAAAGCCATCATTTGTTGCTGCTTCATTTCGGTCCCTTGTATCCTTTGTTCCATTGCTTGAAGGTAAGCTCTAGTATTCTGCTGCTGCTGTCTAAGCTTCACCAACTCCATCATTAGGACCTGCTTGTCGCGCCGCAAACGATCAATTTCTCCATCTAGCCCAAACCGCCCTACTTCCACACAAGGGCCTAGAGCTTGTTGTGCAGGAAGAGGCTGAGAAGGTGTCTTCTTTCTTTTAATGTTCTTAAGGAGATGCTTCTGACCCCTTACAAACCCCTCATTGGCAAACTCCCATCTGTCAGGATCAACCTTTCTAAAGCCCTGCAGAAGTTCAATTACATTTAGGACTAAATTCCCAAGAACCAATGACTTTACAAACCTAATTGCCCAATCAGATTCAGAAATCTATTAAAGCTTCTCCATTACCGCTTTCACCCAATACCCGTCAAGTAATTGATAGACACAAAAAATATATAAATCTATCATTATTGGTGGAATGAAATTAAGGGAATCAATTAAAGCCCTGCAGAAGTTCAATTACATTTAGGACTAAATTCCCTAGAAACAATGACTTTACAAACCTAATTGCCCAATCAGATTCAGAAATCTATTAAAGCTTCTCCATTAACGCTTTCACCCAATACCCATCAAGTAATTGATAGACACAAAAAATAAATATATCTATCATTATTGGTGGAATGAAATTAAGGGAATCAATTAGCCTGCACCTGACAAAGGAGCTCAGATAGTGCTGAATATTGTATTACTAACTTTTGAGATTTGACACCAGTAGAAATTGAGCAAGGTGAGCCATTGGGAGGAGATATTAAAGAATCAAGAGTATTAAATAAAGAAAGCACTGTGGAAAGTAACATAAATTTAAAAAAAAATGGAGGGTGGAGGGGAAAACACAGCAGATGATAAACACAGAATAATTTATTTCCATGAGCACACAGTACAATCATATGAAATTCCAGAACCTACAACAACATCCATACACAAACAAAAGATATGTAAACTTTTATTTTCACCAAAAAAGAAAGAAGAAAGAAAAAAACATTCATAATTTACAGAAAACCACCAGTACATTGAAACTTCAGCAACCCAAATGAATTCTAAGCAGATTCAAGAGAAATAATTCAACATGACGAAAGAACATTTAGGTCAATGGGAAGATTTTTTTTAAAAATTTCTATTTGTTTGATAAATTAGCTGAAAATAAATAGGTAAGAAAATTGAAAGGGACTCAGACAAACAACATACCAGAGATCAATGAAGGGTCATCCACATGAACTGGATTATTTCCATATACATTTAAACTGAAGATCTAAAACTTGATGAGAGGATTGAAGGTTTCACTAACCAATTAAAGATTTCAGCTTGGGGTGAAAACACTTACGTAAGTGTTGAGCTGCCTGACAAAGCTTGAGAAATTACTGTGCTTGAAGTATCTAGGAAGGAGATTCATAACAAAGGGATGAGGATCCCAAACAACAAAGCTTCCACCTCCTCTGCTCCAAGAAACTATCCGATTGGTACTCGGGTCATCCACCATGTCAAAGGTCTTGGTCAGAAATGGAGGAGGGCCTATGTCATTCAGACCCTCCATTGGCTGTGGCGGTATCATCACCACCGGGTCACCAGGACCCGATTGTGATGAACTTGAACCCGGGAACTCTTCCTTCACTGGGTACAGATAGTTCATGGCAATAATTGCAGAAAGATGAACAAATTCCAGATGGGTTTTGGTTCTCTTACCAATTTTACTACTTTGCTTCCAAATCAAATTCTGGGTCAGATTGTTCAACACAAAAAACAGGAAAAAACTGATATGGGTTGTCGTTGAAATGCAAGAAAGAAGACGAAGTTGTCAAAAAGCTGCTGAGTACGAACTCAAAGGCACAAACTTTTGAGATTTACTGATCAAGGAAAGGGAAATTTGAGCTGAATCTTACTAAGAACGAGCTCTTCAATGGAAAGAGAGAGGGGGAAACTGCAAGATAAAGCCTTTGGATTTGGGCGCTTTCTTCTTCGGGAAAGTCGTTTAAGCCGTTATATAGTTGGCAGTTTTTTGTTACACGCACATAGAAGAAGAAGCTGCTTCATTAAGAGCACAAGGGTTTAAATAGAGTTTAGTCTTCTCAATCATTTTTCTAAAATATTTTGGGAAAGTTCTAGATCTCTTGGGGGTTAAGTTTAATTTCAATTTTTCTATTGAGAAACTAACTCTCTCTCACTTGCAAGCATTTGAGAATAGAGAGTGTGGTCCTTTAGGAAAGTTCTGGAAGTTCCATTCCATGGTATGGTGGAGGCATGGGGGGTCTTACAAGATTGGTTTTCTGAATTTCTAAACTCTGATTGGACGATGTATGGACCCCACTTATAAGTTATAATTGGGTCACATCACATGAAAAATCACTATTTGGTAGAGCTAAATATTTAAAAAATAAAAAATAAAAAATTTATGCAAAGGGATTTTGGAGTTGAAAAACGCGTTTGGTAGGGACGAGGAAATATTAAATCATTTCTGGTACAATAAGTGAGGTGTCAATGTGTCATTGCGTTGAGAATGTTTTGCTTTCTTATCTGCTTAGGTTATGATGGCATTTTCTTTGTCTTGTTTTCCTCTTTCCAAAAAGATTAAATCAACTTTGCCTTGGGTCTTTAGTATCAGTTTTAAACGAGTAAAACTATATGGTAGTTTTATTTTAAACAAAGCGATATTGTAAATTATTCTCGTATTTAAAGAGAGATCAAACTCGAGTGCACATGCTAAATATACTGTCTTAATTAACTGACTTACCACAAAGATGCAAACTATATACTTGATTGACTAAAAAGATAAAAACAAGAGCTCTATGGTTGTCCAACAAAAAAATCAAGAGTCTACCCCTACGAGTCTCCAGAGGCTCACATGGGTAAAAGATCCCACCTTTCCCATATTAGGGTTTGGTTCAAAGTTGCATGCAATTTTTTAATCTAGTGGCCATTAGAGTAATCATTTAAATCCAAAGGGAATCCTTCTTAATCAAACACTGCAAGACCAAATCAGCAGGTTGAGTCTAGGCAAAGAAAAATATACCCTCTCGGTTCTCTGCACAAAAATCACCACAAGGGCATACGTGGGCCAATCACCGCCGGACACGTACGTCCAAGGGCTGTTATTATATGCTTATCTTCGTTCATTACGTTAATGTAACGTATTTTAATCTATAAATAAAGAAAATGGGCATACGTGGTGCCCTCAGATGTGGACACGCTACCTTATCGGTACAGGTGTAAGAAAGTGGATTGGTCAGCACAGGGCCATCGGTGCTCCCTACCCACAATATAATATTTACAATCACAAATCAAACACCGCGCCTATTCGGACAAGTTGCAATTTTTTAATCAAATAAAAGTTGAGCATCACTAATATTATATGTTATTTTTGGGTAAGATTCTCACTCTCTCCTGTTCAAATTATAGGACCACAACTGTAGAACAAAATATCTAAACTTCATTATTCTAGAAGCTACTAGAATTTTTTTAATATAAATTTTTGTTTATCTATGATAATTAGGGTAATCCAACAAGGATTGGGTTTAAGATTGAACCGTAAACCAAAATTACGGGTTGAGTTTCGGGTTGAATCTTAAAGCAAGGATTAGGCCTGCCTAATGTGTTGGACTTTGTATTTTTGGTTTGCACGTGTTATAAAGAGAAGATCATGACTTGTGGTTTCATCATTTGGGTCAAGGAGTTCTGGGCACGTGTCAAGAATCCAGGATTTCATCGAAATGTAAAGACACAGGTGTCCTTGACACGCTTGCCTTTGAAGAGTTTAGGATTTGACCAGTCCGGTTTTGTGATTGCATTTGACCTACCTTAGTGGACAAGTACCAAGGATTTGGTCCTAACATTGTCGTACCATCCAAATGTGATTACCTTAAGTGTAAAGTGTCCCCTCTCAGGATATTGCCATTTGGAAGTCATGAGTTGACCAGCCTACCCTTTTAACTCTTAATTTGGTTTTGGGTGACAGAAAAATTTAGCTAACTCTTGTTGCATGTAATTTCTCTTTACGTCACTTTTATCACGTGACAGTCAAGTAATAGGAAAAACTTTTAGAAAAACTGTATACAATTTATTCTGATAAGTTTTTCTTCTGTGGGCTTTTGTCCCCACCAGTATGAAGTTACAGTTTACTCATTTCATTCACATCAAGTTCACAATCAAGATGTGACACAAGATGCATGAAGTACTCAGCTAGGCAGGCTGAGGCGTTATAAGAAGGGACGAAAGGTCACTGAGGTGGTGTTGGGTTTGGTGGTGGATTAATTGAATGAAATTATCTCTATATACGTTTGAACCGTTTCAATGTTTTTGATTCATAGACTCAACCTTGGACCCTAAACCTAGGGTTTGTGATTGAATTCCAAGGGTCTGGATACCCAAGCATGAGGTATTGCTAATCATTACTATTTTGTCGGTAAATTTCATGTTTTGTTCCAATACAAAAGTTCACTAATCATAATTGATTGTCGATTCTTATTTTAAATAAAGCTTAATGGAATATAATTCCCTTCTTGTTTATACTCCGTTTCGTTTCACCAATCAAACACCACTCAAGGGATATTAACAATGGGGGAGGAAAAAGAACGAGAAGGTGAAAAGTATTTTCTTTGTTTTTCAATTATTTTGGACAAATTAGAGTTCATTTTATCAATAAACCTTTACATGGTATTGCAATGACCAAAAGCAAGGATATTGGTTAACCTTTACAGATCACGAATTAAAATCGTCATACAGTACATCAGATATAAAATAAGGAGGTTCCTTGAATTAATACAGAGAAATCCTTATATGCAAAGTAAAGTACGTTATACGATGAGCCACACTATTAACAATACGACAAATATAAATAAAACATTTTCCAGTGACTTGTGTCAACAAATTCTTGATATCCTCCACCACTGGTCCAATGACAAACCTATATATGAAGTTAGATCAAAGTATCGTAACGATCAGGACATCACCACTTTCAAAAACAACATTTTGAAAACCCTTTTCCATCGCCAAGAATGGGCATTAGTTATTTTTTAGGGAGTTTCACTAAAACACCCAAAATGGAGGTTGAAATTATAAAAAAACCCAACACCCAAAACACTTTATAAACACACCCAAAACTCATCATTACACACACTCAAAACTCATTTATAAACACACCCAAAAAGTTGACTTTTGAGTTGATTTTGGGTGTGTTTCTATGTTTAAATAGTGCTTGAGTTTTTTTATAAATACATGTCTAAGATTGGGTTTATTTATAAATTTGTATATTTTTTATGAGAGCACGGTCTCCTTTTTTTAAATCAATAAAACACAAAAAAATTGAAGCGGAAAAAGCCGCCAAATAAAGCGTATAAATAAGCGATGGGGTTGCGGGTTTCCAATTTCCGCTCACTGTGAAATCGTTATGTTAGAAATTGAATTTTACAACGGATAGTAACAAACTGGCAGTAGATGGAGGCTTACAGAGGTCTCCTGTTCCCATTAGGGTTTCTGATAATGCTAGCCGTGGCGACTCTCTCTCACGGAGAATCGTCGACGTGCTTGACGGTCTACAAAGAAGGCGGTGCTCCGGCGGTCTTTCAATCCCCAAAATGCCCTCGCTGGACGCACTCCGATTACGCTTCCTACTCTCGAAGCACCTCGCGCTGTCAAACCGCCATGCTTCAAGGTCGCCGGAAGTCCCTCGAGGATCGCACCCTCTGCGCTCTCGACCTTCGCATCCCCTTCCCTGGTGCCCTAATCTATCTCTCTCTCTCTCTCTCTCTCTCTCTAACATCTGAATTGTTAATTTTGAATTGGTGTTAGGGCATTGTTGTAATTGGATTGGACTCTGCGTTTTATATTGGTATTATTGACCGTTCATACTATGAATGTGATATTGGAGCAGGTAAAGCAGGGGTTAAGGAGGTTACAGTTGGAATTGTTGCTGTTTTCGATGGTCATAATGGGGCTGAAGCTAGTGAGATGGCTTCGAAGCTTTTATTAGAGTATTTCGTTTTGCATACCTACTTTCTCATCGATGCATCATACTCTGCTATCTTGAAGAAAGGCTCGGGAAGTTTGCAAACTAGTGCAGACCATCATTCTATTTTTCAACGGTATAATTGGGATGGCCTACTCGATCGGCATGAATTGGATCTAGGAAGGTACATTTCTTTATAATTATCTCCTTTCTATGTAAACCACTGAAATGCTTTCCGTCGTTTTACATGAATAATTTACAAAAACCAGTCAAACAATATGAACTTGAAACTTAACATTGTTCAACTTTTACTGGTCTAGAATTTTGAGTTGTAGGTTTTACTGGTTTGGTTATCTCAGAATGTAAAATTGGTACATGGAAAAACTAATCTCATTTGTTCCTGTATAGTTTTGTTTTCTAGGGGCCTTTTTGGATACCCATTTTGGCACTTATCTCTAGTTTGTTATGATTTCTCAGGTTTAAGCATTCATTCCAAGCAAATTTTGACGATTCTTTTCACTTTGAAATTTTGAAAGAAGCATTGTTGAGGGCGATACATGATATAGATGCAAAATTTTCGATGGTATGTTCTATTTGATGTTTATCTGCTTGGTTCAAATTGTATTGCATAATGTTCTATATTTTAGCCTTCTATTGATGTTCCTCATATTACTTGTGAAGGAAGCATCTAGAAAAAATCTGGTTTCCGGATCCACAGCTACGATTATACTACTTGCTGACGGTCAAATCTTAGTTGCAAATATTGGAGACTCAAAGGCTTTATTGTGCTCAGAAAAATTTCAATCTCCTGCAGAGGCTAAAGGTCAGAAGGATTTTCCTAAATGAAGCTGTTTACTGTTTAACGCACTTAATTTTTAAAGGAAAGAATTGCATGACCAGAGCTTTAAGTCAGATTCTTGTATGTTTGAATGGGAGTATAATTTACCATTGCACTGTTTGGTTAACATTTCAAAAGATAAGAAAATGGTGGAGGTTAATTTTTTATTTTTTTTGGTGCTTATGCATTGCAGCCACTTATTTAAGATTATACAGGC